GGGGGGGCTGGGGCGGGAAAGGGCGGGAGCGGCCTGGGCGGGACGGCGCCCACTTTGCGGCGGTCGCCCGGTCCTGGCGAGGCCCGTTCTCTGCCGCGTGAGAGCCAAGTATGGTGCCCCAAGGTCGGGGAGGGGCACTTCGGTCCGAGGTGTGGGACAGTCCCTGGGGCGGCTGTCCACCTGACCATTCCAGGGGACCCGGTCGCCCAGCGTGGCTCCCCGTGGGGTCGCCTGGCATTGGTCCCCCATGGGGCACCCAGGCCTCCTCCAGCCTCTCCTGAGACCCAAACCGGCACTGCTGGGAGAATTGCTGCTCTAGAAACCCCAAATGAAGAAGGAGCCGGGCTAGGAAAAACAGGAGTGGAGGCTTAAAGCCCAGCTTGGGAGGCCCTGTTAGAGCTGCCCTAAATGGGGAGAGTCAAAGTCTGACCTCGGGTAAGCTGGCACCATAAAGCTGGCTGAGAGGCGCCTCTTTTATCTGAGCCTGGGAGGCAGCCATAAACATCACTGTAATCTTTGTTTGGGTTGCCCCAGGCACACACCTGTAACTCCAAAACGTAGTGTTGAAAAACACCTCCACAGGTTTTGAGCTTTGTTTTTCAGACTCAGTTCAGAGGGGAAACAAGTTAAAATGTCATTGATCTCAACGTCGTCATTATTTTATTTGCCTGTACCCACCAGCTTATAAAACGTCACCTTAGCTACTCTTCCTCAAAAGTGTGCAGAAAGCAGGTTACAGAAATGCTGCAAGAAATCCCACCTGGCCGCCAACCAGGCTGACATTTGTAAGAGGTCTCAGATCATCCTCTAGTCTCTGGCCAGGGTCACAGCTAAACTATTCAAGACAAATGAGAATCACCTGAGAAGAAATTTTGACAGTTCCTAGCAGTCATATATGCCAGTCACTGGGCTAAATATGCATTCATCCACTACCCACCCAATCAGCCCTGTCCTCATTCTAAACATATATATTAATATGCCGGTAGTCATACCCTATGAGAATTAGTAACCCTCACCACCAACCCCCATTGGAAGGTACCAGACACACCCATGTAAGCTGAGAAATCAAGTAGAGAAAAGAGCAGAATTTTAATCCAACTGTCTACAAACAAAACACTCCACAAGTAACAATTTAGCCCACCTATTTCTGCATCTGGACCTGCACAGGTGAAGTTGAGGCTTACTGGCAGAGTATTTGTCAGTAAGCAGACAGGTTTACAGTTATAAAACTGAAGCCCAGATAGCTTTGCTTCCTCCCCAGAACACACAATAAAAAAGTGTTGAACCAAGACCCAACTTCAGATACATAATTTCCAAGCCCAGTTTTCTTACCACTTTCCAAGGTCTTTTCCATGCCGCCTGAGCTAAAATTACTGAATATACTATGTCTTCTCCCAAGGGGAATACACCATTGATTGTATAATTACGCAGAAGAACAAGACACAATCTTTGTTTTGTTTTGGTCTGGTCTCATTGGAGGCTCTTTACTTTTCTTTAGAAAGCAGAAGATACATGGGTGGAATGGCTCCTGAAACTACGCAAGAAAGCAGTAGTCGTGGTACCTGTTAGGAAAGAGTGATGACAACATAGCCAAGGCCACAGAGCAAAGAAACTGGCACATGCACCATGGGTGTTATCTGTGACGTGGCTGCCTTTCTTTGAGCGTCCCTGGTCAGCTCACTGCTGACCACAACTCTTATTAGTTTTATCACTATAGTTACAAGATGAAGTTTTAAGCAAATTACTTGGACCCTTTGAGCCATCTTCTCTCTGTCAACTGGCTAAAAAAAAAATAATACATTTTGTGGGGTGTGATGGAAAGATTTGATGAGATGACATGCTGGTTCACTATAATCTCTGCTTCTCTATTAAAGTCAGGTATGATCGTCTGCCAATGGGAAAGATTAGTTAGCAGAGCTATCCTGGATAAAATCCTTCTTTCCCAAGGTCTTAAAAAAGTCTGAGACAACACTCCCCAGCCATTACAAACTCCTATGAAGGGGAAGGCGGAGTTGGGGAAAGAGAAGGATGTTCATCTTCCCCTTTCTGGGAACTGAAACATGAAAGAAAGAAAGAATTTGAGCTTGATATACGATGACCCTATATAGCTCTGAATAGATACACATGCACAAAAATATAAACACACCCTGTTTGTATAAACAGCTGGGATTTTTACAGTTTTTATCCCCCTAGACTTCAAAGTACCTTCATATGTGTTTTCCCACTTAACTTCTCAACATCCCTCTGAAGCAGTAAAGGCAGATATAATCACCCCCATGTTGCAGATGGGGGAAAATGGATGGAGAAGTTATTGCTCTTAGTGGTGATGTTGTAACACAAATCAAGTTATAAATTCTCAGTCCAAGCACACTTTGGTAAGTTTGGTATTACATGCGTACATACATGTGTCTAATCATCTGTCTTCTTCAAATTTATTCCTCTCCAGTTGCCATGATGGTAAATGGCAGCCCTATTCACCCAGTTAAGTTTAAACTGGGAACCTTTACGGTCACCCTTGATGTCTCTTTTTTCCTTTCCACCCCTCTCCATCAGCAAATCTGCCAGCTACCTCCAGTAAATTACAGTTTCTTCCCACTTTTTTTTTTTTTTTGCCTCCCTGGCAGTTGTGTTTTAGCCTTCGTCACTCTG